TCTCTGCAATGTTGGCTATATTTTGTAATGGGCCACACAATTAAAGCCTTTGTATAGTCAATAAAACACAGGTAAAAGTCTATCTGGTATTCTCTGCCAAGACATATCTGACATTAGCAAGGATACACCTCGTTCCATGACCTCTTCTGAATCTGGCTTGAACCTCTGGAAGTTCCCTGTCAATGTACTGTTGCAGCCAATTTTGAAATATCTCTACCAAAAATTTATTTGCATACAGTATTAATTATATTGTCCCATGATTTCTATATTATATTGAGTCTCCTTTCTTTGGAATGGGCACAAATCAGGATCTCTTGCAATCACTTGGCCAGGTAGCTACTTCCAAATTTCTAGACATAGATGAGTGAGTGCCTCCAGGGCTGCATCCATTTGTTGAAAGATTTTAATTGGTATCCCATCAATTCCCAGAACCTTGTTCTTTCCCAATGTTTTTAATGTACCTTGGACTTCTTCCTTCAGTATCGTTGGCTCTTGATCATATACTACATCTTGGAATGGTTGGACATAGACCATTTCATTTTGGTACAGTGACTCTGTGAATTCCTTCCATCTTCTTTTGATGCATTCTGTATGATTAAATAGTTTGTCCATTGTTTTTGTTGTTAAGTGCCTTCAAGTCACTTCTGACCCATAGCAACCCTCTAAAGGGTTTCCAGTAAGTGGCTAGTGAGCTTAAACCACCGACCTAAGGGCTCAAACTGACTTTGCAGTCCTGCACATTTACTCACAGTGCCACACCAGGACTCCAGCTTGCCCTTGTTGTTAAGTGCTATAAGTTGGTCCCGACTTATAGCAACCCTTTGTAGCGTTTCCATTGAGTGGCTGGTGGGTTTGAACAACTGACTTGGTAGTTCAAACTGGCCTTGCAGTCTAGCACATTATCCTATAATGCTATACCAGGACTCCAGTTTGTCCATAGAATCCTTCAATATTTAAAGTTGAGACATGGATTTTTTCTTTAGTTCATTCAGCTTGAGAAATGCTGAGTGTGTTCTTGCCCTTTGATTTTCTAACTCCAGTTCTTTGCACATTTCACTATATTATTTGATTTTGTGTTCTTGAGCTGCCCTTTGAAATTTTCTGATCCATTCTTTTACCTCCTCATTTCTTCCATTTGTTTTAGCAACTCTGTGTTGGAGAGCAAGTTTCAGAGTTTATTTTGACATCCATTTTGGTTTTTAATTCATTCTTTCTTGTCTTCCTAATGATCTTTTGCTTTCTTCCTATATAATGTTCTTGATGTCATCCCACAACTCTTCTGGTCTTTGGTTATTAGGTCTAATTCATCAAATCTGTTCTTCAGATGATCTCTAAGTTCAGGTAGGATATGTTTCAAGATTATATTTGACTCTAATGGACTTGTTTTAATTTTCTTCAGCTTCAGCCAGAACTAGAATGTGAACAATTAATGGTGTGTTCCATAGTCTGCCTTTGGCCTTGTTTTGTCAGATGATACTGAGCTTTTCCACTGTCTCTTTCTACTGATGTAGTCAAATTGATTTCTGTGCATTCCATCAGGTGAGGACCATGTGTAATCATATTTTATGTTGTTTAGAAAAGGTATCTGCAATGAAGACGTCTTTGGTCTTGCAAAATTCTATCATGCGATCTCCAGGATTATTTCTATCACCAAGGCCATATTTTACAATTACTGATCCTTCCTCTTTGTTTCCAACTTTTGCATTCGTCACCAATACTAATCAATATATCTTGATTGCATGTTTGATCAATTTGAGACTGAAGACATGTGTATAATTATTCAACTTCACTATCACTGGCTTAGTGGTTGGTGCTTAAATTTAAATAATATTGGTATTAACTGGTCTTTCTTGTAGGTATATGGGTATTTTCCTATCACAGACAGCATTGTACTGCAAGATAGATTTTGAAATATTCCTTTTGATGATGAATACAATGACATTCCTCTTCAATCTGTCATTCCTAGTACAGTAAATCTTGTAATTGTCAGATTCAGAATGGTCAATATTTGCCATTTCAGCTCTCTAATGCCTAGGATATCGATGTTTATGCATTCCATTTCAATTTTTACAATTTCCAACTTTACTAGATTTATACATTCCATGTTCTTATTATTAATTAATGTTTGCAGCTATTTCTCCTCACTTTGAGTTGTGTCCCATCAGCAAATGAAGTTCTAACAAGTTTACTCCATATTCATCATCACAGTCAACTCACTTTTGAGGAGGCAGCTCTTCCCCAATGGTATTTTGAGTGCCTTCAAACCTGAGGGGCTCATCTTCTGGAACTATATCTGATAATATTCTGGTGCTCTTCATCATGTTTCATTATTCAATACTGCAGTGCTATCTTACAGTGTTCCATTACTATTCATAAAGTTTTTGGTGATTAAATATTCAGAAGTAGTCTGTATTTCCTTCTCTGAGTCTCAGTTTGCAAGTTCAGCTAAATCCTGTACACCATGTGTGACCTTGCTGGTATTTAAAATACAGGATACATGGCTTCCAGAAACACATCAGCACTCAAGTCACCACAGTAAGACAAACTTACAGATAAGTGGTGGAATGTAAGATACTTCCACAGAATACAACAAAAAAAAATTGGCACATGCAGTTGCATTTTATTCTTTCATTTTTTTTTTATGTGTTTGAAATTTTTCATAAGTTTTAAAAACATGTACTTTATAAGATCAGCAGACAGTGAATGAATACTAAAATTATGTATTACTACTAATATATCACTCTTACTATTTATTAGTGGACATTCTCATGTGACACTATAGTGCTAACCAAAAGGTCAGTGGTTCAAACCCACCATCCATTCCTTGAAAATCCTATGGGTAGCTACGATTCAGAACTGATTCAATAGCACTTAATAAAAACAATATTTCTATAGTATATTGGTTTGATACTGTAGGATAGGCACAGGACTGATAATCTAAAGATCAACTATTCAAACCCACCACTGGCTCCTTGGAAACCCTATACAGGGTCATTGTGAATTGGAACTGACTTGATAGCACTTAACAACAACAACATATATTTGTTGTTATTGTTGTTAGGTGCCATTGAGTCGATATCGACTCATAGCGACCTTATGCACAGCAGAACGAAACACTGCATATAAATATATAATAATGATAGTTCTATTCACTGAATACTGACTGCACAAATGCTTTATAGTCACTATCTGATTTAACAACCTGGTAAGTTTAATTGTATCAATATCCCCAATTTACAGATGAGGAAAGAGACCAAAAAGTTAACTTATTTGAGATTACAAAGTTAGTAAATGAAAAACATAGGATTTAAAATTTATGTATACATAACTACAGAGCCCATGTTCTTTTTTTGTGTGTTATTTGTCTCCTAAAAAGCATGGCCTAGTTGGTTGTCTTTAAAATTCACTGCCATAATTTTTAAATGTATCCTCTATCATTGATAATCAGAATATGACCTTGAGTCAGACCTTTGTATCCTAATGTTCATTATTTGCCCCATAAGTTGCCCCAACTATCAAATATTCAAAACCAATGACCTTGAACCAGTAATATCAAGGCTAGGATGGGTTCACAACCTCAGGGTCAGCATTTGAAAATACCAGCTGTTCTGCGGGAGAAAGATGAGGCGTTCTGCTCCCATAAAGATTTACAGCCTTGGAAACCCTGTACAGGGCCGCTATGAGTCAGAACCGACTCCACAGCACATAACAACAACAACAACAAGTAGAGAATGATGGAATAAGTACTAGAAGGTAAAGTACTGCAGAGCCTGTCAGTTAATCTACATTCATGGAGCTGGAAGAAACAGTATTTTATCAATATTGCAAGAACAGAATCACTTTGTAGAAGACACAGTTGATTAATGGTTCAGCTAAAGTAGAAACGTAATTTAAGAGCATTATTTCGATTTATTCATTTAAGGAGTCCAGTGTGGTGCTGTGGGTTAATATGCTTGACTGCAAAGTCGGTTTGATGCACAAGGTCAGAGATTCAAGCTCACTAAACACTCCTCAGAAACCCTATACAGGATCTCTATGGGTTGGAACTGACTTGACGGCACTTAACAACAACAACGTTTACAGGATAATTACAATCTTGTAGCAATATTAACAACACCCAATTGTTATTAAACATTCAAATGATATCATTTTTCTAAAATAGACATTATACTCATTTTTCATATTTGAACCATCATCAGGGTAAAATCTAGTTCTAGTGGTTCAAAAGGCCTGAAACCTTAGGATAAGCACTGGACTGCTAACCAAAAGGTAAGTGGTTCAAAACTACCAGCTGTTTCTGGGAAACCTTATACAAGGTGGTTGAGTTGGAAAACTGCTTCAATAGCACTTACCACAACCAACAACAAGATTAGGAAAAGAAACTAATGTATCAGCAACTATTGATGGAGTTCCTTTTGTGTGGACTTCTGTTTATTACACTTCAGGTACAAACATGCTTGTTAAAAATGTTAGGATGCAACAAGAAAAATGGCTGTTCTCTCAAACATCAGAAACTGACAAGACCTACTGCTTCTCAGTTATTTGAAATAAAACAAAGTCAAAATTAGTTTCCAAAAAGAAAAAAGTACAGTTTTCATTATTTGTGGCTTTAAAATAACTAGCGTTTTTTGAAGTGTTACCTTTGCATTAATTACAAGGGATAAAAATTTCTGCTTCTGAAAGTAATATTTTCAAAAAATCTAAAGTGACCAAAAGCAATGTGTAATAAAAGAATGTTTTATCATAACTGTTTTAGTTAAGTATTTATGATAGCTATCAGAGGTCTTTTAATTCAAGCAAGTTCAGCAGGCACAAAACACAAAGGAAGGAATGAGGAAGAGCAGGTTTTGAAATTTCAGAACAAAGCAAAACTTTGAGTCATTGGTATAAATCAAGGTTTCCGTTATTATAGGTTTTACTGGTTGCCCATATTTTTTCTTATTCCCAATAGCATAAGTAAAATTATTTTTCAATTATAGTACAGAATTGACTCTACTTACTTGGGATGGAAAAATGTGAACAATATTTCCAGCTATGTCTAGGATTCTTAAGTGTGTAAGATCACAAAGTCCCTGTTTTAGAAAACAAAAGAGAAAGGGAGATTTTTTAAAATCTACTACTTAGAATTATAAGTGTTTTTTAAGTTCAAACTTGATAAAAATGGTCATCTTTTAAAGTTCCCTGATTATCTTTTGTATGTTTTCCCCAAGGATGTCACCGTGTCCCAGACTGTCAGGTTCACTGAGTTCTGCATTTTCTCTGATCACTTCAGGGCAACATATTATGATGACTAAGATACTTCTGTGTTCAAATCCCACCTCTGACATAAGTTACGTAACTATGGGCAAATATTTTTATCTCTTTGTACTTTAATTTCACCATTTGTAAAATGAAAATGTTAATAGGTATACCTACTTCACAGGGTTTTGAATAGAGTAAATAAATTACTAATTCAAAAATGCTTAATAGGAGCTAATAGTGAGCACTCAATAGACACTGTTATTGTTGTTAAGTGCCGGTTCAATAAATATTACTTATTATTAAAAGAGAAAGAACTTTTGAAAAACAGAAACTATAAAACCCTGATAAGTTATCTCTATTGACAATTTCACCAGCATTTACTATTCATTTATCTCATACTTAGCACAAAGCTAAGAAAACCCTTTCCTCATAAAGGAAATAAAACTTTTTATTGCATCTGCATGATCAGGAGTCTTGGTGTGGCACTGTAGACTAAGCACTGGACTATTAACTGGGAGGTCAGTGGTTCAAGCCTACCAGTCATTCTTTGGAAACCCTATACAGGCTGTGAGTCAGAACCAATTCAACAGCACTTAACAACAACAACAATATACATGCCCAAAGTGTGACTGTAAATTAGCATAGTAACTACATGGTCATCATGGTACATCTGAGTTCTGTCTGGTATTTCTAACAGCAAGCAAAGACTGAATAGGATATTTTTTTAACTAAAAACATCAAAAACTTTTTAAAATCATTGAAATCTAAAGGTATGATTAGATAAATAGTTCAACGACTTTTAGAAATTTTTCTGAAGTGTTACTCTTGTTTACCAGCCCAATCTCTGCCTGGGAAGATGACATGTCTTTTTATCCATGCCAGATGTGTTTGTTCTTCGGTTCTATCATATTCTATCACAGGTTGGGTCTCTGGAAGCAGATGCTGATATATAAATTTGGGTGCTAGATGTTAATAAGCATCTACCCTGTGAAAGTGTGTAGAATGAAGCAGGATTAGGCAAAAGGAGAAGTCAAGGTTTACTGCAGATTCAACAGAGTGAAAGATCTGGAGTGGGTCTTGCTCATCCAACTTGTCTCCCATTAGAGAGACATGGCTAATCCTCTATATTCCTGCCTTGTTCCGTTACAGGATGTGGGATGCTAAAGGGAAAGTGTAACCGTGGGCAAGGAAGGAGGCTATATACAGCTGAGACAGGCCATAACAGAGATGGCAGCTGGAGGCTCTCTGCTTGCACCATTCCCTACAATTGATCTTTCACTGACCTTTTTCTAGTGCTGTGGTAGCTACAGAGATTTTCAGACTCACAATATAGTCTCTTCTCACAGTGTTCAGATACTAAGATACAGTGTTTTCCATTCTACTGACAAACATTTGATATCATTTCTTCTGTTGTACTTACTCTTTGTTTTGTTTTTACTTCAGTCATAGCTATTGCTGTTGGTGGTGTTATTGTCATTGCTTTTTCATTTTTGTTTTTTGTTTAGTCTTAGATTCTTTCCATTCTCCAGTCTTACATGGATTAAAACCTCTCAAATAAGTAATGAAACATTTTGGTATGGAAACAATAAGGGTGAACAAGGATTAAGGATAAAGTGTTATGGGTAAAATAATCATTGTTGTTGTTGTTAAGTGCCTTCTAGTCTGTTCCAATTCATAGCGACCCATGCACAACAGAATGAAACCCTGCACAGTTCTGTGCCATTGTCGTTATGTCTAAGCCTATTGTTGCTGCATAAATCTGAACACTAGCATTAACTGGTCTGCCTTTTGTTGTTGTTAAGTGCCATCGAGTCAGTTCTGTCCTGTAGCGACCCTGTACAGGGTTTCTGAGGCTGTAAATCTTTACCAGAGCAGAAAGCCTCATCTTTCTCCCACGGAGTGGCTGGTAGTTTTGAACTGCTGACTTTAAGGTTCACAGCCCGATTCGTAACCACTACGCTACCAGAGGTCTACCTTTTAGGTGTACGGATATTATCCTATCACTGACAGCATTATAATTCAAGATAGATCTTTAAAATGCTCTTTTTGACAATGAATGTAATATTACTCCTCTTCAGTTTGTCATTCCTATCATCATAAAGTGTATGATTATCTGATTCAAGATAACCAATACCAGTCTTTTTCAGCTCACTACTGCCTATAATATCGATCTGTTTGCATTCCACTTCATTTCTGATGACTTCCAATTTTCCTGGATTCATATTTCTTACAGTCTGTGTTCCAATTACTAATGGATGTTTGTAGTTGTTTCTTCCCATTTTGAGTTGTGCCACATCAGCAAAATGAAGGTCTTAAAAACTTTGTTTCAGTCACATCACTAGGGTCCACTCTACTTTGAGCAGGCAGGTCTTCCCCAGTCACATTCTGAGTGCCTTCCAACTTGAGGGACTCATCTTCTGGCACTAGATCTTTCAATCTTCATAAGTTATTCATAAAGTTATGGGTGGCTAACCATTCAGAATTGGTCCACATCTTCTTCTTCCCACTCTGTCTTAGTCTGGAAGCTCCACTGAAGCCATGGGCACATGGGTAACCCTGCTGGTATTTAAAATACTGAGGTAGAACTTTCATCATCAAAGTAAAAGACAAGACACCACAGTATGACAAACGGACAGATAAGTGGTGGAAAAAATAACAGAAACACTTTATTTTCAGAGGTCAGATAAGGTTTCCAGAAAGAAGTAAAATTTAAGCTGAGATTCTTTGAGAACTTTGAAATCGTAAGTGTTTTTTTTAAGAGAAAACACTTGTTTGGGGTAGCACTGTCAGAAATTTAGTATTGCTAATTTATGGTATGAGCAAGAGTGACTAAGGAAGACAGAAGACATGAAGGTCCTTAATGAATGTTGTTGTTGTTAAGTGCCATTGAGTCGGTTCCAACCCATAGCGACCCTATATAGGGTTTCCAAGGAGCGACTGGTGACCTTGAACTGCTGACCTTGCAGTTCAAGCAGCTTTGCAGCCTCGCGCATTAACCCACAGTGCCACACCAGGCGTATTAGAATTCTTTAGGTTGCAAGTAAAAAGAAACTCAACCCAACTTAACAAGTAAGGAAATTGACTCATGTAAAAGCTAAAATTATATATGGCTGGTTCTAGGTGATCAATAATGTCATTATCTCTTTCTTTTATGATGAAGTCAGTAAAATCTGGCTTTCCTAACAGAATAGCAAGATAGACATCAGCGGCTCTGGGCTTATATCCTTCTAATTTCTCAATCTTAACATGAAGAATTCAGTTACTTCCAGTCAGTCCATAAGTCATCTCTCATTATTTTGACTTAAATGCTATGTTTGTCTTTGAATAAATCATTAATTTCATTGTGATGGTATATTCTGATTGGGCAGGTCTGGTCAACTGATGTTCAGTACTAACCAAACCTTACAGATCCTAAGTGGAGAAGGGAATGACTTACCAAAGGTACATCATGATACCATTATATGAAGATGCACAAATGGCAAAACAACAGATGTCTGCTATATTGTGTTAAGGAGTTTGGGTCTTATACAACACAACCATATATTTAAAGCCAACTACATATTAGACACTGGGTTAGAGATCAGTATTCATCATAACTAATGAAAACATGTGAATTCTTTATCCAAACAAATGAGTATTTTCTGTAATGTCTTGTCATGTATTGCTGTTGTTATTAAGTACCATTGAGTCAGTTCCGACTCATAGCGACTCTATACAGGGTTTCCAAGGAGCAGCTAATGAGCTTGAACCACTGACCTTGTAGTTCAAACTGACCTTGCAGTCCAGCGCATTGACCCACAGCATCACATGCAAATCCCAAAGAAGACAGATAGATTGAATCACATTAAATGTCCAAAGAAATAAAAGATAATAGATACCTTTTTTACGAAAGTTCAGGATAGGACTGATTAGCATTTACATTTAAAATTTTTAAACATCTTGGGATTGAGGCTAGTGTAGTAAAAGACACTGATGTAAAGGCAGCCTCAGAAGGCAAACAGACACAGGTATGAGTCCCTCATTTTTCCAAGTTACATAGCCTTTCTGTTGATGTTTTCTAAACTGAGGATAATAAGAAGAGCTGCATCATAGTTATCAGGAGCATGAAAAAATAATAATATTTCACTAATGATATGGTAAAGGAGCTCTGGTAGCGGAGTGGTTACGAATTGGGCTGTGAGCCACAAGGTCAGCAGTTCGAAACTACCAGTTGTTCCGCGAGAGAAAGATGAGGCTTTCTGCTCCCATAAAGATTACAGCCTCAGAAACCCTGTACAGGGTCACTATGAGTCAGAACCAAGTCCACGGCTCATAACAACAACAACAATAATATGTTAAGGAGCTCTGGTAGCGTAGTGGTTACGAATCGGGCTGCAAACCTCAGGGTCAGCAGTTTGAAACTACCAGCTGTTACACAGGAGAAAGATGAGGTGTTCTGCTCCTGTAAAGATTTATAGCCTCGGAAACCCTGTGCAAGGTCACTATGAGTCGGAACCAACTCCAAGGCACATAACAACAACAAATTATATTGTTGTGTTATTACTGCCTTTTCCCAAAATAAAGGAGTTATACCTTAAGAGATTTAAATAACAATTTGAAGACTTTTTTTCATCTGTTTATAGAAATCAGGGTTTTTAATAAACTTCAGATTAAACAATTTGAGATATGGTTATTTACATGCCACCATCTTGGTTAACTTTTCACATTTTACATTATACAATTTAAATGTTGTTTGGAGGGGATATTCTCTTGAAAGGAAAATTAAACATTTAGAAATAGTGCAAGTCTCTTTTTTCCCCATTTATATTTCTACTATATTAGTTTGATATGGCACTGAACAATAATGCACTGGACTGCAAGATGGATTTGAACTACAAGGTCAGTGGTTCAAACCCACCAGCTGCTCTTTGGAAACCCTAGACAGGGTTGCTATGAGTCAGAACAGACTCAACGGCACACGACAACAAACGATATATCAATTTTGGATAATAAATAAGGAAGACTGTAGATGAATTGATGCATTTGAATTATGGTATTCATGAAGATTATTGAAAGTACTCATGTACTGCCAGAAGATCAAACAAATCTGTCTTAGAAGTACAACCAGAATGTTCCCTAGAGAGAAGATGGCAAGACCCTATCTCTCCTACTTTGAATACGTTGTCAGGAGCAACCAGTACATGGAAGACACCATGCTTGGAAAGTGTTGTTGTTAAGTACATCCAGTCGGTTCTGACTCATAGTTACCCTATATAGAGTATGCAACTAGCAGGTGGTGGGACTGAACAGCCGATCTTGCCATTAGCAGCCCAGTGCTTATCTGATAGCACCACAGAGAAGTACAGGGAGAGTTAGATAGAGGAAGACCCCTGTGAGATAGACTGACAGTGTCAGCAACTATGAACTCAAACATGACAGTTGTGAGGATGATGCAGGACACAATGCACAGTGTCACTATGAGTTGGACCGAGTTGCCGGCATTTAACAACAACATATCAATTTGTTTATTTTTTTAATTCTTCAGTTTATATTATGGCATGTCTTCCCTACTATTTAACCAATTTTAATTTACATAATAAAGGAAGTGGAGAGTCCTGCTAGCATAGTGAATTACAAGTTGGGATTCTAACCACAAGGTCAGCAGTTTGAATCTACCAGTTGCTCCATGGGAGAAAGATGTGGCTTTCTGCTCCCATCAAGATTCACAGCCTCAGAAACCCTGTATAGGGTTGTTATGAGTTGGAACTGACTCGACAGCATATAACCACCACAACCACCAAGGGAGGAAGTTATAACCACAGACCGATTCTTAGCAGAACACAGTACTGTCAAACTAAAGTATCGGCAGGGTAAGGTTTTCTAAACCAGCAAAAGTGGTTTCCTAGCCCAATTTTTAGTAAAGTGGTAGATTGGCATATAGAGAGGACAACACTAACAAGGTATGCTCTCCATGAATAGTCAGCCATTCAAGATCAAAAGGGCAACATTTGCTGAGGACAAAGTTCAAAAGGGTCGGGAAGGAAAATGGAATGGAAATAAGAACCACAGAAGGAAGTGGAATAACCGCTGTTCCATGGAGGGGATTGCAGTCACTGAGATGAAAAAAGTCTGTGCTTTGTTAAATGGAAAACTTATGATCTGCTTTGTAAATCTTCACTCAATTTACAATAAAAAGTTTAAAATTTTTTAAAAAAGTGTATTCCTAAACCTAAGAAGTTACCAGAAGCTAGGGAGATTAGAGTCATGGTGTGGCATTGTAAGATAAGTACTGGATTACTAACCACAAGGTCGGTGGTTCAAACCCACAAGTCACTTCTTGGAAACCATATACAGGATGGCTATGAGTTGGAGCTGACTTGATGGCACTTAGTAACAAGTTCTGAAAAGGCAACAGAAGGGAGCAATTGTCCAAAAGAGGGCTACCTGACATTAGCTGTGGTCTTTAAGAAAGGCCATCCCTCTAGATAGGGTACAGAGGAACGTGATCTGATACTGACTCCTCTCTTGCCCTTTCACTGTCTGCTAGTGCCTTCCATTAACCATATCTAAAAAGGAAGTCAGAAGAAACAGGATATTGATATCCTTACACGTCCATCTCCCAGGCACAGAGTCTTAAAATAGACTGTGCGGAGTGGGTATGGAAGAAAAATATAAGAAATCTAGCACATACTCCAGAGCTAAAATGTACTTCTATTTTGTGCTATATAGAGTTGGCAGATAAAATACAAGACACACATTTACATTTAGGTTTCAGATAAACAATCAATATTCTTTTGTCTAAGTGCTTCCCAAGCAATACCAAAAATTATTCATCATTATCTGAAATTCATATTTAAGTTAATATCCTGTATTTTTATTTGCTAAATCTGTCAGCCTTAGCTATGTATAACAATATGAAAAGTTATAACCCACTTATTTCAAAAGAATTTGGGAACTGATGACATCTAATTTGAGGGAAACCATGTTCTGGGTACTCAAAGGTTATTACTCAAACACACAAATCTATTCTTGAACCATCCCCATCATTCTGTAATAAGTATTTCCCCCGCAAAAAAAACTTTGGATCTATGTTTTGCTTACCTCTGGCAAATACTCAATGTCATTCCTGACCAGAAGAAGCTTCTGGAGTTTCTTCAAAAACTTAATTTCTTCAGGTATGCAAATGAGCTGATTGTAGTTAAGTTGAAGTTCAGAAAGATTCCCAAGGAAACAAAGTTCTTTAGGAATGCTGGCTAGCTGGTTGAAATTTATACTCAAATATGTAAGCCTTTTTAATCTAAAAAAAAAAAAAAAGCATATGAATGAAACACAAGAATAAGTACATTATACAGGAAACACCATTTATCAGAGGCTATATGTGTCAAAACATTTTTTGACATTCATCTAAGTCATACTTAAGTCAAGTGTCACAATTACTGTGACCATGCAAACAAAAACTACATTTTTTAAAGATTTCCTATTATCAGATGGCTTATTTTAAGAGTATTTTATGTAATCAAAGCCTAGTTTTAAAGAACATCTTATTTTCATTCTATAACCATATACATGTGTGAGTGCGTGTGCAAGTATATAGCTCTAATCTATATCTATAGTTATCCAATACCAAATAGCTGTGAGTACCACTTATCTATGAAAAATGAAAAAATGAATCTGTCATAAATCCTGTCCTTATAAATATGAGTCTACAAGAAAATATTAAATGCAGCCATAAAATGAAGACAGTGAATACTACAGATAGGGAGAAAAAGATGAAAGATATTGGAGCATGTAATTGAAGATTTGGTAGCAGAAAGTGCCTGAAGTATCACTTTTTTAAATGGTGATATTTTAAACTTAGTCCCTAATAATTGTTGTCAAGTGCCATTGATTCATATCTGACTCATGGAGTCCCTGTATAGTGTTTCCAAGGAGCAGCTGGTAGGTTTGAACAGCCAACCTTGTGTGAGCAGTCCATTGCTTATCCTCCAACACCATATCCGGATGCCAGTCCCTAATAATTGTTGTTAAGTGCCACTGAGTTGGTTCCAACTCATAAAGACCCTGTGTAGGGTGTTGGCGGAGCGACTGGTAAGTCTGAATTGCCGACTTTGTGGTTCAAACCGACCTTGCGGTCCAGCGCTTTTCCTACAGTGCCACACCAGGACTCTGTCCCTAATAAGAGAACTTGTCAAATTCAGAAAACAGGAGATTTGCTTACTGTTTTGCTGAAATCATAGATTGTCTGTTCACACAACCAGAACACAGACAAGTTTATGATCAGCTATATAATAACTTGGATTTACTTACTTCACTATCTTATTTTTTCAATGAAATTTTTCATTAATTTTACTAACACATTCTGAAAATCGAACACCTTAAATTCTATAATTTAATATGTTACCTTGGACTCCAAAATGAGATAAGAACACTAAATTGCAGAACTTCACAGTTCATCTACTCAAATTCTTCCTTTATAGATAAGGAAATTCAAGTCCCCGGCCACTAAATTACTTGCCCAAGGTCATAAAACTAGTTGCCTAAATATATGACCTACATCTAGTTCCTCAGAACTTCCCATGTGTTCTTTTCTAATGATGTCATCATGTATATACATAAATCAATCGATTAGCAAGCTATGTGAAAAAACAAGCAGCCATCTCCTGGCATTTTTATTGCTGTAACTATCCCTTTTCTACAGAAATTAGATTGATTTCTATCTTTTTTCAAGTTGCTCAGACTTAAAACATTACTTTCCCTGTAAAAATCTATTGGGGGAATATAATACATTGTTGCTGTTGTTAAGTGCTGTTGAGTCGATTCTGACCCATACCAACCCTATATAGGGTTTCCAAGGAGCAGCTGGTGAGCTTGAACTGTCAAACTTGCTGTTCAAATGGATTTGCAGTCTGGTGCATTAACCCACAGCTCCACACCAGGACTCCTTAAGCTAGGGATATATACCAGTGGATTGGAATCAATTTTAGATGCTGCAGAAAAATTTGTTCAAAGTTCTGAATCCTCCTTTAAAAATCTGGATGTTCTTACCTTGTAATACATCTGTTTCTGCTCAACAGGCAATAAAGAGAGTTTCCAAAGTAAACCCAAGTAGGGTTCTCTTTCCATCTGTCAAAGGAAAAGCCCAAGAGAGTGTTTTGCCTGCAGAAGGTCAAGGCCTTCAGCCGGTTCCAGAAAGGCACTATGATGGCACCCTGTCTGACCAGCTGCCCATTAGGAGGGAACACAACTTGGCTGTTGTCAGTGAGAATAAAATGTGGGATTTGTTTGTTGCTTTAAAAAAAAAAACACGAAGATGATCACTTGGTTTTTAATCCTTTAATATTATATCACCTTTTCCATCAAGTTGCAACACTCATTAGAAGTAAAATTTAATGTCCCCAATTTTGTAGCTGAGCAAGCTCCAAGAATTCTAAAATTAGGAAACCAGTAACAGAATCAGCTTCAGAACTTTGTTTCAAACCCCTGACTTTTACACTTACATTACCAAATCATATTGTTTCTCATTTCCCTGAAGTGTTTAAGAAATCATCTGCTTAAAATTAGTGACTTGCCTCCACTCTTCAGATCCCTCTTTGCTATGTACAAAGCCCAGTTATACTTGATGCTGGGCATAAAGCATTCAGATGACCAGGGTGGGCCCAGGGAGCAAAAGGAGGTGGGGATTCCTATAGTCTCCATGTCGCAATACAAACAAAATTACCTGCGGATTTCTCCAGGAAGACACGTAAGCAGATTGTTGTTCAGATTAAGCAGGATCAAATTTTGTAAGCCATCTGTTAGAAAATAATTTTTAGTCACTTTAGCCATCTGTAGAATGATAATACTTGGTCAACTTCCTATACATCTTAGTTTTCCTTCTGATTTCTCACTTTGAACAAGGATCTTTTTGCTGCAGGTAACATATATTAAAGTATTTTTTTAAGTATATCTTAAAGCATTTTTCAAAAAAAGAGGAAACGTATCACAAATATACAAAGCTCCATCATAATACAAGAGGGCAGAGGGTACAGCCAGTCTCTCCATCAGTTGGAAACAAAAGGTAAACGCCACCCAGAACTCAGGATTGTATCCACTGGATAACTCTAAAAAACACGCAGCTTAGTTTTCCCTCACAGCTTCTCCCAGAGCTTCATATTCATTTTCTCTCTCCTCTCCCCACTCTCTCCTTGTTTCACTTTTGAATGGATTTTCTCTATTATTTCCAATTGTGACCCTGTATAGGGTTTCTGAGGAGCAACTGGTGAGCTTGAATCGCTGACCTTGCAGTTCAAATGGCTCTGCAGTCTGGCGTATTAACCCACAGTGTCACACCAGGACTCCAAACATAAATTAGAATGTTTAATATTATTTTTATACAAAGGTACAAGGTGGTAAAATGTCTTACATGAATTAATGAGGCCATAAGAATCATCTGAGTATCTTTCTGTCACAAATTCGGCCCTTAAATCCACTCTTCTTACAATATCACAAAAGGAAAGATGTCATTTTGATTGGAGAAATGATTAATTTAAGAGAAATCCAAAGAACAAGGAAAGACGTGGAGAACTTCACTTTCTCTGATTCCTAATTTATATTCTCTCTAGCACAGAAATAACCAGATTCAAGAATCTGCATGTACACTGATTCTAAAAAGAAGAAAATTCACTAACACTAATACTTGCGTGGAGCCTGGTGTGATGCTGTAGGGTAAGCCACAAGGTTGGCAGTATAAATCTTATTGGGTCTCTATGAGTCAGAACCTACTGGATGCCACTTAACAACAACAACAATGCTTGTTTATTTTTGCAAATCTGTATGTAAAGGAATATATGATATTATAGTTGAACATATTGTTTTTAAATTTTCTCAATTCTAAGAACATTGTGTAAATGTTTACAGAAGACACATTTACACAAGACTCTAACACAAAAAGATCAGAATATGTAAGATGCATTTCTTACTTTAGTCCTATATTAAATTTGAAACCAGTGTTGGTCTCCTTTGACTAACTTACCACATGCTCCAGGTAAAAACCTATGAATCCTATTTCCAAATAAATGAAGTTTCTTCAGAGATGTAAGGAATTTCAGCTCTTCTGGAACTTCTTCTAAAAGATTATTTCCCAGGTTTAGTGCTGTCAACTGCAAGCATATAAAGGTTTAATTAATTCACAATATCCACCTTCAAATGAGAAAAAGGACAATGAAGGCTCTTTGCTCAGATCTACGGAGTCCTGGTGTGGCACTGTAGGATAAGCACTAGATCTCAATGTCGGTTTGAACCACAAGATTGATATACAGGGTAGCTATGAGTCCAAACCGACTCATCAACACTTAACAACAACAACATGGTTTAAGAAAATGTCAACATAATCTTAAACAATTATTTCCCAACCATCTACAATTACCTTTAATAAAGTTCATGTGAGCTTCAATGTGTAAAACTTTGACAATTAAAGCACATTTTCATTTCCAATTAAAGCACTTAATGCCATTAATATCATATTACAAAGCTTTCCAATTAATAATCCATTAATAACTCACTTGAGTGACCAAGAGACTCCTAACATTGTGAACTATAAAATCAAAACTCATCAGCCTATAATCTGAGGTCCTCATGTCCTATTAATTCTCAATGATCTCTCTCATTTAGACCAATAAAGCTACTATATTTCATAGATATAGTTGGAGAAACTTTAATTTTGATGTCATGCTACGTGATTTATTGCTCACAACAGAGATTACTGCAATGATATAAGTAGAGTAGGGGAGATCTGCAGCATATATCTGTCCTACTAATGATTCATCAGATATAAGAATGGCACATAAGACTGTTTACAACGCTCCTTCTTGATTCTCTAACTCTAACTCAAAATGCCAATGGTGTAGTATTGTTCCCTAAATCTTGGTGCTTTTCTTTATTTTGAGATTTAATTGTACCTTCCAAGATTAAGCAACCACTCTCCTCCCCTAAAAAAATCTATTGCCATGGAGTCAATTCTTATTGTGACCCTATAGGCCCCACAGAGATTCCCAGACTGTGAATCTTTACAGAAGCAAACTGCCACATTTTTCTCCCATGAACTTGCTGGTGGTTAGCAGCCGAATGTTTTAACCACTGTGCTACCAGGACTTCGTAAATTAAACAAAAGGCGGATCTTTGCTTTTATTCCCCCAAATAATTTGTATGTGTGTGATTTGGTTTTCCTTTCAACAATTCATCTGCATCTGCCTTTATTACTATTGTTTATTATTTCTTTTTGCTCTTGTTTTGTTTTTCTTCCTTGAGCTTCTTTTTGGAGACTTTGGGTCTGTTGGTCTTTTTGTATAGGTGATAGCCAATGAGGCCCAGAAGGGCTGGCACCATGGCTATGCCTACCAGAGGTAAAATGCCTTTCACAAGCTCTTGTCAGTAGTTGGCTCGGACCAGTGCAATCAGCTCCACATCAAACTGCAGCACTGCATCCGCTGGGATGGATGGTGGAAATTCCCATTTTCTATAGGCCAAGTGAGAAGGAACGATTGCCCTTCGCTTTTCTCCCACACACATGTCTAGAAGGCTCTGCTCTATCCCTGGGATCACCTGCTTTTGGCCAACTTCTATCACCAAAGGATCACGGGTCAAAGAGGTGTCAATTATGCGTCCATCTACCAAGCGTGTCTCCGTAGGCAGCGGGCTCCGCACACGGTTCTGGGGGCTCCACCAGGGTCTCCACTTGGAGGGTTCGGACAGGACTTTCGGTTTCAACCCCTGCCTCTGTCCGGCACATCGCCCCACTGAGCAGCAGCAGCTAGAGCAGCAGTGAGGGGCGCAGGGTCATGACTCAATGCGGGAAAAGGTGCCGGGGTGGGCAGCAGGACAGGCTGGTCGTCTGGTGCCCTGCATCTACATTTTGTCTTGTGACTTTGATTGCAATCCCCGTAACGTAACAGCATACTTCACAGTTCCTCTGAATTTACCAATTCGCTTTATCCTTCTTTGTGGATACATCCTGTTCTGAACTTTATCCCTGGGAAAATGCTGCCCTTTTGATCTCATAACATTCATATTTCATTACCAATTACAGATTTCAGAATTTTAATATTAAAGGTAAAAGGGATGATGGAAGTTTTGGCCAACCACTAATCTGTAAGTTTGTTATACTACAGTGACTTGGCATGTTGCTGTGATGCTGAAAGCTATGCCACTTGTATTTAAAACCAGCAAGGCCACCCACAGTGGACAGGTTTCTGCTGAGCTTCCAGACTAAGACTGAGTAGAAAGAAGGAGAGGTGGACTAATTCTGAATGCTCAGCCACTGAAAACCTTATGAAAAGTAGAGCATTGTTACATATGTGAAGGAAGATAAAAAACATTATTAATAGCATCAAAATATTGTCAAATAATAGTGCTGTAAAATGAGCCCCTTAGGTTGGAAGACCCTCAAAAGATGACTGGGGAATATCTGCCTTCTCGAAGTAGAGATGACTTTCATTTTCTGATGGGGAATAATTCAAAATGAGGAGAAACAGCTGAAAACATACATTAGTAAATGGAACATGGGAATTAAGAACTGTGAATCTAGGAAAATTGGAAGTCATCAAAAATGACATAAAACACCTAAAGATCAATATCTTTGAATACACAGAAAAAATGAACTGGTATTAGCCATTTTGAACCAGACAATCACCTAGTTTACTATGCCAATAATGACAAATTGAATAAGAATGAATGATGCATTTATCATCAAAAAGAACATTTCAAGATTTATTTGAAATACAATGCTGTGATAGGATAATATCCATACCACTACAAGGAAGAATGGGGTCCTGGTGTGACACTATGGGTTAATGCACCAGACTGCAGATCCATTTGAACCACAAGGTCAGCAGTTCAAGCACACCAGCTGCTCCTTGGAAACCTAGTCAGAATCAACTCGGAGGCACTTAACAACAACAACAAGGAAGAACAGTTAATGTCACTATTATTCAAATTTATGCACCAATCACTAAAGGCATGGATGAGAAAATTAAAGAATTGTATCAACTTTGTCATTGTGAAATTGATTAAACATGTAATCAAGATGTACTGATAATTACTGTGACTGGAATGCATAGGTTGAAACAAAGAGGAAGGAGCGGTAGTTGGAAAACAAGGCCTTGGTGATAGAAATGATCCTGGAGAGCACATGATAGAATTATGCAAGATCAGTGACTTATTCATTACAAACACCTTTTTAAAACAACATAAAAGATGACTATACACATGGACCTCTCCTAATGGCATACAAAGAAATTAAATTGACTACATCTGTATAGAGAAATGTTGTAAACACTCCATATCATGATCCAAAACAAGGCCAAGGACTGGAACAGACCATCAGTTGGTCATATGCAAGTTCAGGCTGAAGCTGAAGAAAATTAAAACAAATCCACTAGTGTGAAAATATGAACTTGAGCATATCCCACCAGAACTTTGAGATCATCATAAAACAGATTTGATGCATTAGACACTAATGGCCAAAGATGAGAAGAGTTGTGGGATGACATCAAGAACATTGTATAGGAAGAAAGCAAACGATCACTAAGAAGACAAGAAACAGGGAAAAGGTCAAAATGAAACTCAGAAGAGACATTGAAACTTGTTCTCCAGCATAGAGATGCTAAAGCAAATGGAAGAAATTAGGAGGTAAAATAGCTGAACAGAAATTTTCAAAGGGCAGCTCTAGAAGACAAAGTCAAGTATTATAATGATATGTGCAAAGACTTGCAGTTAGAAAACCAGGAGGGAAAAATATGCTCAGCATTTCTCAAATGGAAAGAACTGAAGAAAAAGTTCAAACTTCAACTTTCAATATTGAAGGATTCTATGGGCAAACTATTGAATGACATAGAAAGCATCAAAAGAAGATGGAAGGAGAACAAACAAGATGGCGAATTGGGTGGAAGTGCAGTAAAGGAGTTTCGCCAACAACAACACAGAATACCCAACCAAGCAGGCTCAGGGGATGGTCCCAGATCTCTGAACCACATATTAAGGAATATTTAGAAGCTTGGAAGGCTTACAGCTGGGAGAATTTGTGGCAGAAGCAAGAAATTCATTGCTTTCTAGTCCGGGATGCTCAACTCTCCAGGAGCCGCCATCTTGGGTGAGACCAAGTGGGGGAAGGATCTGAGCGGCCACAGACGCCTAGCAGAACCGCAGAGATAAAGTTGTGGACATTCTTTTTTTTTTTTTTTTGGTAGCTGTTCATTGGTCCCTTGCAGTCTGCGCACCTCCATTCTAGTGACTATAGGGGTGCCTGAGCTACTGGGCACCCCAGCCCCACCCTCAAAGGGTTCTACTACGCATGCTTACAGATCTCCTAGAAATTTAAAGAGACAGTTTCCAATTAAAACCAAATAGCCACAGCCGGCCCTGAACTGTTTACAACTAAAAACAAGGACTGAACGGGGATTGTGGAGCAGGACAAGGAGACAAAAAAGGAAATAAGTGGAAAATTAAATCCTAAGTTACGTCAAAATGACCAACAGTGGCATCTTGAAATTTCTCAAGAAGAAGAGTGAAAAGGGGAGTCCATTTCCTGATAACATCTAACTGGAGGCAATCAGAAAGCATAAAAAATACCAAAATACATACCCATCTAAGTATTAAGGCCACAGGTAACCCCTGAATATGCCTAAAAAATAGAAGCAGATGACCATATCTGCACATGTCCAGAAACGAGATAAAGTGACTGAGGCAAATGAGCTGGAAGTAGACGTACACTCCATACTGGAAGATGGCCAGGCTTTGGAAATGCCAGAGAAGGAATTCCTAAAAATGATTATAAAATGTATCAAAACACTATACAATGGAGTAGAGAAAAGTAAGGCAAAAGTCAGGAAAGCGCTACAGGAACAATCAAATAAGATAGACACAGCATTGGAAACAATTCAAAACCTACAGAAAGAAGTCCAAATGATTAATAATAGAATATCAGTAATGGGCAATACACTGAAAGGACAAAGGAGTAGAATTGAAGAGACAGAAGCCAGAGATAGTGAGCTAGAAGATAAATCTCTTAACGCTACTAAGATAGAAGAACAAATACAAAAAAGGATAAAAAAAAATCCAAAGAAAGCCTAAGATTCATGTGGGATAACATGAAGAGGAATAACAT